CTGCTGCTGCTGCTGCTGCTGCAGGCGATACTTGTCCGTCAGCAGCAGTAGCCAGAAGCCTGAGAAGGTCTCTTCTCTTAAGGCGTCCTGGAGCGAGCGCAGCTTCCTGCGCTGCAAGCTGCTGCAGGCCTTTTTGCTGCTGCTGCGTCCCGCAATGACTGCAGCAGCAGCAGCAGCTGCTGCGGAGGCAGCAGCAGTAGCAGCAGGGGAGGGCGCTGCAGCGGAGGCAGCTTCGCTGCTGCCGTCGGACTCGCAGCCGTCCTGCTGCTGCTGCTGCTCTGCCGCCTCTTGCTGCACCTTCTCCGCGGCTGCTGCTGCTGCTGCTGCTGCTGCCTCGAGCACTGCAGCAGGAATCCGCCGCGTGGGGTGTACAGACGGCAGCAGCTGCAGCGGCAAGCTGCTGTTTCTGCTGCTCTGAGGTGTATTGACATCAGATAAACAAAAAGACAAGTTCTCAGCAATGCGGCGGGGCAGGTGTTCCCGCAGGTTGCGCAGCTGCTGCTGCTGCAGCGCAGCAAGCGCGGGGTCCTGCTGCTGCTGCTGCTGCTGCTGCTGCTGCTGGGGGGCCTTGCTGCTGCCCCTGCTCTTGGGGGAAAGCTCAGGTGTATAGGCAGCTGCCACGGGAATCACCTTCAGCGTCAGCCGCTGAGCAGCAAAAAGTGCTGCTGCTGCTTTGCGCAGCAGCAGCAGCTGGCTGGGGCCCCACGCCGGAAGGAACGGGGTTGCTGCTACTGCTGCTGCTGCTGCTGCGTCGTCGCCCGCTGTGGCGGAAGACGGAAGCGAGGGGCACGAGCTGTGAGTCGCCGTCTCGGCTTGCTCACTAGCAGCTGCTGCTGCTGCTGTTGCTGCTGCTGCTGCTTGCTGCTGCTGCTTCTTCGTCTGCAGCAACGAAGGCTGATCCGAAGAAGGAGCGCCGCTGCGCTTCGGCGGCCGACCGTGTTGAGTCATTTGCTGCTGCTGCTGCTGCTGCTGCTGGAAGCTTAGGAGCCGCTTCTACTGCAACTAATGCTGCTGCTGCTCGCTCGCGGCAGCAGCAGCAGCAGCAGCTACTGTCGAAAGGGGGTTTGCAGCGT